TTATGTTCCTACTCATATATTATTTTATAAATATTTAAAATTAATTATTTTTACTACCAATATGTTAATTAGTATGTCCAAAATAAATAATTACAACAATGTTCCTAATGAGATTTGGATAATTGTCCTTAATTTCACCACTTTTTAAAGTAAAATGACTAAATTGATCGAACAGAATAAAAGTACAAGGACTAAATTAAACAAAATACTATAGTACATGAACTTCATAGGTACTTTGACCCTTTTTAAATGTTCATGAAAATTTGCTTTTCAAAAACAAATGTTCACGGAAATTTAAGTTTGAAAAATTAAGTTTGAGGTCACACTTGTGTGAGACCATCTCACGGATCTTATTGTACAAAAAACCAGACGAAGATTATTTGTGAGACGGATTGGGTTGGGTCAACATGCAAATGTCATGCTTATATGCGCAAATGCAATACTATTCAGGAATAAAAATATTTATTACGTCATTTTTCTTTAAAAAAAAGTATTACATTTTTCCATATAAGTAATAAACACTTTATTCTTAAATAATATTATATTTTGTGCGTATAAGTATTATATTTTCATTTTGACCCAATCAGTCTCACACAAGTTTTTGCCTTTAAATCTGAGGGAGATGATCATCAAAATAACTTTTTTTTCACAATATGTCATTCCCTTAGAGAAGTACATTGAAATTTCTTGGATTCTTTGTTTAGATAGTATGAAAGAAGGTAGTCCACCCACGACACCTTTTGGCAGTCCAATAATTGTATATCTAATAATAATATTCCTATAGTATACAATTTGATTAATAATATTTGATTTATGAAAAGTCCATAAATCTATAATCATAACTTTAAAGTGTGATCTGGATGAAACTCGTCTTGCGATTTTAACTGATAAAAAAAAAAGATAAACTAAATTAGGGTTTATCACCGGTTCAAAATGATCCATCGAACGTGGATCTAAATGATAAGCATGCCATTTTCTCTATTCTTTCCTTCTGCAATCACTACTGCATGGACCATGGTCCACACAATTGTGTGGACCATAAATAAAAAGTATATTTTTAATATACTAAGGGTACATTATTTATGTACGTAAGGTACATTTTTTGAAAGTACATTTTTAATATGAGTTAATTCTACCGGAGGTTCCTTGTCTTTGGTGGCAATTCAAATTTAGTCCGACTATCTTTTTGCCATTTTACATCCCGGACTAGCATTTTTTGGACCCTTTTAGTCCTTCTCTTGATTTTTTCTATTTTTAGTAAGTGCATTTTTGTCTCTTCATATTTTTCTTTTGTTATTTTTCCAGTTTCAACCAGTTTAATTGGTTTAGGACTTTACTAAAAATTGGTTGAAAAATATGGTTACTAAAAATCAGAGGTTACCTAAAGTTCTAAACCAATTAAACTGGTTGAAACCGGAAAAATAACAAAAGAAAAATATGAAGAGACAAAAATTCCCTTACTAAAAATAGAAAAAATCATGAGAAGGACTAAAAGTGTCCAAAAAACAATAGTTTGGGATGTAAAATGGCAAAAACTATAATCTGGGACTAAATTTGAAATTGCCACTAAAGACAAGGAACCTCCGGTGAAATTAACTCTTTTTAATATACTAAAGGCTTCAGTATAAAAATAATGTATCTTCAGTACAAAAATAATGTACTTTTAATATATTAAAAATTTACCTTATGTTTATAGTCCACACAATAATTTGTCTTCCTTCAGGAATGCAGCAAGCTAAGTCATCTGCACTCTAACTTTTCTAGATTTCCTTCTTTTACTTAATTCCTTTTCATGTCACTAAAATTTCTTTGATTCTTCCTTTGGGCAGTCTGATGGTGATAACCTGAAACGATTTTAAATTAACAAATTTTTATGTCCTTTTCAATGCAATTTTCACTGGTAGCTAAGGCTCTATCTATCTATCTATCTATCTATCTATCTATATATATATATATATATATATATATATATATATATATATATATATATATAAAAGAAGTGTTTGGATAGGTTTTTCCCCAAAATTTAGGGACATATTTGTAATATCAATTATTTAGACAAAAATGTCATTTAAAATTATAATTACACTTTCATTTCATATGGTAACTTTATGATAATTAATTTCAACTTGGAGTTTTTTTTTTTCTTTAATTTTTTGTAAAAATAAAACTAATGTATAAAAAATATACCATTAAAAAGCTCTAATTAAGATCTTTTGAATGACATCCATATTGATATATTTTTATTTTTTATTATTAAATAACTCTATAGGACATAAAATCATTATTTCAGTGTAATATTTATATACATTAAGCTTTGTTTTTATTAACTTATAGAAATAACATTATGAACCTACTATCAAATGAATGGAGATACATATAATGTATAATTAGGTTAAGATTTTTGGACATTACAACTTATGTTTATAAACATATATATATATATATATATATATATATATATATATATATATATATATATATATATATATATATATATATATAGAGAGAGAGAGAGAGAGAGAGAGAGAGAGAGAGAGAGAGAATAAATATTAGAATAAATTCCACTTTTAGTCCACTGACTATTAAAATTTTCTAATTAGGTGCATGACTATGTAATTTGTATCACATGTGATCCTGCCATCCAATTTTTTGGCCAACTATATATTGTCGGAAGTGTTCCTTCCGGAATAAATAAATGCATGCAGTGCTCATTCTAGAAGTGGTCATTCCGGAAGAGCATCGCAAATGCAGCACTTCAGGCAATAATTACCTGGGAAATTGAACGTCATTACCAAATATGATACAAATCACATAGTCATGCACCTAATTAGGAAATTTTAATAGTCAAGGACCAAATGTGATTCATTTATAATAATCAAGGGAATGTGAAATTATTCTAAATATTATGAACATAGTACGAGATGAATGTTATTAAACATGATGCATATATAGTAATATTTATATACATTAAACTTTGTTTTTATGAATATTATGAACCTACTATAGAGTGAATGTAAATACATATGATATATATTTTTAGTTTAGTGTTTATGAACATTAATGTTTATGTTCATGGACATATAGAACAAATATTATGAGTATAGAACACAATGAATGTTACTAAACATGATGTGTTCATAGTATACTGTCTATGTACATTAAGCTTTAATTTTAATAACATATAGAATGAATATTATGAACCTCCAATAGATGAATGAAAATACATATAATGTATATTTAGTTTTATGTTGGACACTAAGGTTTGATTTATGGACATATAAAATAAATATTATGAACATAGTCTATGATAATGTTATTAAATATGATGTACTAATTGACATTTGATATAAAATAATACCGTTTGGATCAGGATCCACCATGGAAGGTGACCCAGGTCCACCATGGAAGCAACACGCATGACTTGCATTTGCATTTACTAAAGAAATATATTATCTTGGAAACCTTAAACACTACACATAGCCTGCATTTACTAATATTACATTATATTTAGTGTAATAGTTTGGTATATGCAAATTTTAATACTTTTGGGCATCCAAATACATTATTTGTTGTGTTAACTACATTTAATTAATTAACCCAACATAGTAGCTCAAGTGGAAAATGAGCTCTCTTTGTGTGGGAGAATTTTGGGATAACTCGGGTTCAATTTCCACAAGTGACGATTCTCTTTGGGCCAGCTTCTGTGCCTCTCGGAGCGAACCAGGTGGACCTAGACCGTTAAACGGACAGAGAAAGGCTTCTGTGCCTCTCGGAGCGAACCAGGTGGACCTGGACCGTTAAACGGACAGAGAAAGACCCGGACCACAAACGGACAGAGAAAGACCCGGACCACATTGTGGTTTACACCAAAAAAAAAAAAAGACCCGGACCACATTGTGGTTTACACCAAAAAAAAAAAAAAAAACTACATTTAATTTGAATTTTTCAAATTCAAAATTTGTGTCTAGCAAAGTCACTTTGTACTCTAGCTTTTAGATGTCCATTAGCTTGCTTATAAATACCCACAAATTAAGTTCGGTCTTTGTGATTTTTTTGGCATAATTCTCTTTGTATGTCCATAGTATTTTTGTAGTTTGACAAGTGATGGGTATATGGTCATTTTTTTATTTAATCCCAACACTAAGTCTTTGATATTAGGTATTATACATACTTTATTATAACAAGATATTGTTAGAATATTATATTATATTTCGAGCATTTATTTATTTACATCATTTAAATTTCATAAATAATATAATTATTGAATATATGTTACTACCCGTGTATCGCACAGGTGCTATACTAGTTAAAAACATTATTGTCCTTTTTCTTCTCAAACGGTTGAATCCCCAATCCAAGACCCCTACACCTCGGCTCAACAGATCATTTGGGAGTCTAGACTTTTGCTATTGCGTACAAGGAGTCCTTCTCATTTTGAAAGGTTACTCCAATACTAGCGCTGGTGAAACTCGATTTCTGGTAATTCTTTCCAAACTTTACCCCTTAACCAATTGAGCTACTCTTTTTCTTTGAATATTTATAGAATATTTATCTTCTAGAGATTTTGGGGGAGAGATGTTTCATATATGTTTATACAAAAACAAATTAAAGGAGTTTCAACCTATATATATGGTTATAAGTTTTTAACCCTAAATGAGGTGGTTGAGTAGATGAAGCATGATCAGATTTACATAATGCACACTTTAGACAATTGTACAAAATTTTCATTTCACAACAAAAAAAAAAAAAATTATGAATTGTATACATGTCCGTTAAAACATGTCTAAAGACGTAGGAGCCAAACTGCGCAATAACTAGGAAATTTCTCGTCTTTAAGCTATCTTCTTTCCTCTTTCCCTTTGACCTTTCTTTCATACTCCTTCTCTCTATAAATTCGATCAGTTCCTTCCCAACACACACCAAGTAGCCTCTTCATCAATCTTCACCACTCATCTTTTCTAGATTTCCTGCCTTTTGCTCACTTCTTAAGTCTGTCTATGGCTAGCTCTACAATCAACCTTGAACCTTCCACTTGGGAATACGATATGTTCTTGAGTTTCAGAGGTGAAGACACGCGTAAAAACTTTACCGGTCATCTTTACTATGCGTTATGTAATGCAGGTATTTGCACGTTTAGAGACGAAGAGGAGCTCAGAAAGGGCGAATCTCTTGCGCCAGAACTCACGTGGGGAATCCAAAATTCAAGAATCTCTATGATAGTCTTCTCCAAAAACTATGCCTCGTCTAGGTGGTGCCTTAACGAATTGCTTCAAATCCTCGAGTGCAGGGAGAAGAGAAAACAGTTAGTCTATCCTATTTTTTATGACGTTGAGCTTTATGAAGTACGTAGTCAAAGTGGGAATTACGGCGTGGCCTTGGCAAAGAACAAAGAACGTTTTGGGGGAAGCGATAAGGTACAAAAATGGAGAGATGTACTCACTAAAGTTGCAAATATGTTCGGATGGGATTTGCAAGGCTCCATGAATGGGTAATGTTTTTTACAAAGTGAAGAGAAGCAAGTGAAGAGAAAGAAACTTTATTTCAACTAACAATTTCAGAGAGGATGTACAACAGTTCTTATACACAAGACTAAGGAGGGAAAACAATGGAAAGAATCCTAACTAACATAACAAAAAAGAAACTGTTGAATGCTGCCTAGATGCGTGTGATGCCGTTGATCTTCTTGATCTCCTACTATCCCCCCGCAAGCTGGATTGTATAAGTTAATCAATCCAAGCTTGGATATATAGCAGTTGAAAGAAGAAGGACAGTGAGCCTTGGTGAAAGTATCTGTTAGCTGATTCTCAGAAGTAACATGCAGTAATTTTATGATGCCTTTGCTTAACTTTTCTCTGACCAAGTGACAATCCAACTCTATATGTTTAGTACGTTCATGAAAAATTGGATTTTCAGCAATGGCAATTGCTGATTTACTGTCACAATAGAGGGCTGCAGTGTTGCTATGATTAACTCCAAGATCTGTGAGCAAATAGATCAACCATTGAAGTTCACAAGATGTAGCTGCTAAGGCTCTATACTTAGCCTATGAATATGACTTGGAGACAGTAGGCTACTTTTTAGATTTTCATGATATCAAGGCATTACTCAAGAATATGCAAAAACCTATGACAGGTCTTCTTGTATCTACACATGCACCCCAATCTGAGTCTGAAAAAACCTTCAACTGTAAATCAGGGTTTGATGGAAAGAACAACCCTTGGCCTGGAGCAGCTTTGAGATACCTTAGAACCCTATGGGCAGCTTGCAAGTGTAGATCAGTATGTCTGTCAAGAAACTGGGATAGCTGCTGTGTGGCAAAGCTAATGTCAGGCCTTGTGATGGTCAAGTATAGGATCTTGCCAATTATCCTTCTGTATTGAGTATTATGTGCAAGAGTTTCACCCCCATCTTTGCTTAGCTTGTGGGAGGGGACAGTAGGACTATGAATTGATTTGGAGTTGGTGAATCCAGTATCATCTAGCAGCTCCGGGGCATACTTTCTTTGACATACTGCTATGCCCATTTTTTTTTTCTGGCTACTTCCAATCCTAGGAAGTATTTCATAGGTCCCAAGTCCTTTATTTTGAAGTTGTCATTGAGCTGTGTCTTTATCTGTTTAATGCTTTCCAAATAAGCACTTGCAACCACTATGTCATCTACATATACCAACAGGGCTACAAATGATGGACCTTCTCCTTTGGTGAATAAAGAATTGTCCGGTATGGATTGCTTAAACCCCATGTTCTGTAAGACAATGCTTAGCTTGGTATTCCACTGTCTGCTTGCTTGTTTGAAACCATACAAGGATTTTATGAGCTTACACACCTGTCCAGGTTTTCCTTTTGTAAAGCCAAGTGGCAACTGCATGTATACTTCTTCCTTCAACTCTCCGTGGAGGAAGGCATTATTTACATCCATCTGATGGAGATGCCATCCTTGTGCTGCTGCAATAACCAATAGAGTCCTGATTGTTGTCATTTTGGCAACAGGACTAAAAGTATCAAGATAATCTATGCCAAGGGTTTGATTGTGCCCTTTGGTTACTAGCCCTGCCTTATACCTTTCAATGGTACCATCAGCCTTATTTTTTATTTTGTAAACCCATTTGCAGCCAATAGACCTTTTTGAAGGAGGTAAGTCCAATATCTACCAGGTATTGTTCCTCTCCAGTGCTTTAATTTCTTCATCCATAGCCTCTTTCCAACACTTATGTTGTACAACCTCCTTGTAGTTTCTTGGCTCAGTGTGCCCTGTGATGTTCATTACAAAGGACTTAAATGATGTATCAAGTCTGGTGTAATCCATGGTTTTATCCATTATATGTGGAGAGGTTTTTGCTGCTATGTTTTGGCAGACATAGTCTTCCAGGTAAGTAGGACTATTTTTCTGCCTTGATGACCTCCTAGCAGCCTGTTGAGGATTTTGAGTGCAAATCTGTATGTTCTCAGGAGGCTGGACAGGAGTTTGATTTGGGAAACAGACATCACTCTGAGTCTGATTTAGGGAATAATCATCATTCTGAGCTTGATTCTGATCATCATTAGTGGGGATCTGAGTTTGGGGCTGTGGAACTTCAGTTATCTCCACTGTGTCACCCTTCATTGTAGGCAAAATCATTTGAGAGATTGTATCTCCCTGGCCAGTTCTTTGTTGGAAAGGGAGGACATTCTCATAAAAGACAACATCCCTTATAAAAAAGTATTCTTTAGTTGCAAGATCATATAATTTGTATCCTTTGGTTCCATTAGAATATCCCATAAATACACATTTCCTTTCCATGGCCTCAAATTTTGTTCTAGGCCCTACTGTAGTTGAATAAGCTAGATAGCAAAGAACTTTCAAATTCTGGTACTGTGGAAGCCTCTTGAGTAGGACTTGGTAAGGAACCTGATTGCCAATAGCAGCAGAGGGAAATCTATTGATTATATGTAGTGCATGTAGTATACATTCTCCCCATAAATACTTAGGAAGATTGGCTTGAAATCTGAGGGCCCTAGCTATTGACAGTAGGTGACCATGCTTTCTTTCAACTATGTTGTTCTGTTGAGGGGTGTAGTTGCATGAGGTTTGAGGCACAATTCCCTCTAGAGTAAAGAAATCTGTCATACAGAACTCTAGACCATTATCAGACCTGATGCACTTCACCCTAGCCCCAAATTGATTCTGAACAAGATTACAAAAGTTTATAATCTGATTTCTGGTTTCAGACTTCACTTTCATCGTATATACCCATACAGATCTACTATGGTCATCCAAGATAGTTATAAAATAATGGTGACCATGAATAGTGGCTATTTTGTAAGGTCCCCAAATATCCATGTGCAACAAATCAAAGCAATTGGCAGCTAAAGAAACACTAGACTGAAATTGTAACCTCTTTTGTTTAGCAAAATGGCAACAATCACAAACAAAATCTTTATTGAACTAAATTGTAGGTTTCAAGTCTTTTAAGAGCTGAATCTTAGAACATGAGGTATGTCCCAGTCTATTGTGCCAGAGAATACACTTGTCATGAATAGAAATAGAATTGCATACAGAAGCAATAGGAAAATCTAAGTAGAACAGTCCACCTTGCAGCTCAGCTTTTCCAATCATTTTCCCATGGATAGCATCCTGTATAATAAAGTGATTAGAATTCATCTCTAGTACCCCTTTGGAGTCCTTAATGAAAGCTCCTACAGATATTAGATTGTAGTGGAAACCAGGCACATACAACACATTATACAAAGTGAATTCATCAAATAGGCATACTGTTCTAGTGAGGGTGATAGCAGCCTTCTGACCATTTGGCAACACACATGCAGATTTTTGACCTTTTGTTGATTGCTCAGTAAATCTATGTCACACACAATGTGGTGAGTGGCACCACTATCCACTATCCATTCATTCTTATTGCATTTGACGGAGTTGAGTGAGACCATACCTTCACTTTGAAGTTCCATTGCCACAGTATTAATTGAAGCTTGCATGGTTTGATCAAGGGGTGTATTGCTGACAGACCACTACATCTGCATAAACTCCATAAACCTCTTAAAGTCATTTTGATTGAAAGATGGTCCCTCATCAACATTAGACTGTTGAACAAACAGCTGTTCCCTGGACTTGGTTTACTAAACCCTGAGTTATTGATTTTGGCTTCCAACAATGGGGATAGCCATGCTTTTTATAACATTTATCTTGTGTGTGGCCAGTGTAGCCACAATAAGTGCATACAGGCTTCTTGTTTGAAGCTTGTATTTTCTTGAACCCTTGTTAGAATCCTCCCCCAGTTCTGGACAAGAAAACACTGCCTGCATTACCTGTAAGAATGTTGCCTTCACCTCCCTGGTGCAATTGGCTCCCAAAACCAACAGAAACCATTTGGAATTGTCTCTCTTGTTGAGCCACCATAGAATAGGCTTCATTGACCTCAGGCAGAGGCCTCATTAACATGATCTGATTCATAGCCGCAGTGTATCTCTCATGTAATCCAATTAGAAAGATGGATAGTTTGTCCTTCTCTCCTTGCTCAACTATTTAATCCAACTTCTTACCACAATCACACTTATTGGTGCAAGTGCATGTAACACCCCTAATTTTTAAAACATTTAAATCCTATAAAATAAAGGCAAATCTTTCATTATCCATCCAAACAAAGAAGAACTAACCACATCAGTATCGGGGTGCTATGCCACGTCTAGGTTTGAGAACCTAGACGCACAGGCTAAACTAACTGAACAAGCATAAACTGTAATTAGTATTCATAATACAAACAAAGGCTCACAGGCCATCTAACTAATATTAAACTATCTAAGCTAGCTCCATCTAGCGCACTCTGGAGCTACTAATCTTCACCTGAAAAACATACGGTGTAACAACCGTCAGCGGATAATGCTGGTAACCCACTCCCACTCGTTAAGTACAATATAGGTAGATATAAGAAAACCATTTTGAGACTGGAATACATATATAATCCTAAATAAACTCTAGCTTTAAAACCAAGATCAAAACTCAAGGCATAACAACATGTTTAGCATTACGAATCATCATAAACCTGTTCCCAATCTCATCAACAAGTGACATCAACATAAACACGCAACCTACAAGATACAGCCTAAACTCTACTTCCCAAGATAACGAGACAACCACAAGGCACCCACGGGATCATACAAATCTCATCCTAGGCCAACGGGTCACTAACTTAACCCACATGCAATGACCATAACTCACGACTTCCTAAAACGGTACCCGAGTTGGGAATTCCCCAATTACACCCAAAACCAAGTCCGAATAAATCCCAATACACAACAAAAACAACAATATGGACTTGAACCACAAGAATTAAGCCAAGAAACCAACACAAACAAATCCTAAATTCATGCTCCTAATATATCAAGATTCAAGAATCAATTCCTAACATGCAAGAACAACAAGAACATCAAGATTCCATCCAACAAACCCTAAAATCAAGCTCTAGACATGCCTAAACGTAGGATCACACATATAATCCATC